GTCCATACATCCATGAACTTTATTTTAAATGATCCCTACTATCTCACTATTGATCTGTCAGACAATTAGGGCCGAAGTCTGTTGATTCGTGAAGTCTGTTGAAAGTAGAAAATCATTTTATTTTTTTACCTGTATGAAACTTTAAACTCTGGTATTAATTCTAGAACTGAGCATCTCTTTCTTTTTTGTTAAAAAAAAATAATTAGCTAAGATTTAATTCCAAACTGAATTTGTGATGATCTGGAGTTGTTAAGGATGCCCATGTAAATGAAATGAGTAGTCAGTTTGCGTGTATAACGTACGGGTCTATTTACTCTGTGCACCATATAAAAGGGATTCCAGGCAGATGAAAAATGAGAATGTTCTGGTTTCAAAGTACCCGTTTACAATCTGGGCACATACTTCGAAGTCTTTTGACCTCTGTGCAACATACTGCTTGTTTTTCCTCCCGTTATAGTGCTTCTGTGTGTAAATAGGCCCAAAATATGGCTTTTCAGCTTGTAAATAAGCAACAGAGAAAAACAGCAGAAAACGTATTGATTGAATTTTTCATGTTGCATATGTCTACATGTAAGCTATTAGTTTGTAACACAGCAACACAAAAATTATCTGAAACAAATAGAATGCCATCCTAAAAAGAATATTACGGTAGAATGAAATAATCGTGTAATATTTAAGCAAAAAGGGCTGTATCTGTTTTTGTCTGTACTACTTTCAGCGGTGCATCATAAAGAGGGGGGCAGCAGAGGAGGAATGTCAGACAAGTCGACCGTTGAGACAACTCAACTCGGGACAAGTCGACCGTTGAGACAACTCGACCGTTGAGACAGGTCGACCATTGAGACAACTCGACTCGGGACAAGTCGACCGTTGAGACTGCTCGACTTAATGGAAATGAATACACGTGGAGCAGAAAAAGTTGCACAAATCTGTGGCAAGACCGATCACGGGTGCGGCGCGGGCATACTCGATGTACAGAGGGCGCTCCGATCTGGTGGCCGTCGCATTGGGCCGGTGCGCCCCGCCCGGCCGCGAGGACCTGGCCGGGCTCGGCACGCGGGCACGTCGACCGGCGCGGCAAGTGGGCGCACAGGCCCGGCACAAACGATGTCACCGTGCATGGTACGGCCACGTTGACCGACCGGGGATGAGGTAAGTGGGCGCACGGCTGGCAAAAACGATGTCACCGTGCACGGTACGGATAAGTTGACCGGCAAATGGGCGCACAGGCCCAGCAAAAACGATGCCACCGTGCACGGTACGGCCACGTTGACCGGGGATGCGCGCACCGTGGCCCGGAAAAAACGAACGATGTGCACGAACTCACGCTGCGCTATATCGGCTCTGTTATATGCAACCAAAAAAAAGTCATGTGTCATCACTCCCAAACAGCGATCAGCCGCCGTCAAAATCCCCGGTACTATCCCCAAAACTAGGCCCAAAACATGCGAGGCGACTTGTTTCAACGGTCGACTTGTCTTTCCATTTATCGCACATACGGTCGAGTTGTCTCAACGGTCGAGTTGTCTCAACGGTCGACTTGTCCCGAGTTGAGTTGTCTCAACGGTCGACTTGTCTGACCCCCATAGACCCCCCCTCCCCCCCCCCCCTCAAGGGTGTCAATCGCTTTTCAAAAGTGGATGGGACATGGACATACATGGGTGCGAGCGCGAAGCCCTAATGGCATGGTGTTCTGGGCCTGCTTAAGGGCCCCGAAAAATGTTGGATTTTGGACGCTCTGAGGTGTGATCTGAGGCAATTTTCTGACCACTTTAACCAATTTTCTTTAGCAATAAGATCATCATTTAAACATCCTTTTCGAGTTTGGAGTCACTGATCAGTTATTCTGAGCTATAGAATCATATGTACCGGTAGGCTACATTTTTTATTCTGGGATGAAAAAAGTGTGGGGGAGATAAACAATACATCCCCACTTTAAAAATTGGGGGGGGGGACTTGTTGCTCCCCCTCCCCGCAAATTTAGGTCCACCACTGAATTTATGAAATAGTCTTTGAAATGTTGCAATTGCCTTTGAAAGTAAAACATGTACAATGCCTATTGGCATTCAGTATATCGATACAATAACTTAAGAAGACAAAAATTCAGGACAAACAAAAAAATCTGAAGTTTTAACTGCAACTATGCTGAAGACTCAAAAACAAAAAGAAATGTTAAGGATGCTTTATTATTATGATTATTCTTTATAGATATATTTTTTTCAAGCAGTGTGTGCTGTCAGAGAGTTTGTGAGAGAAATTTCACAAGTTTGCTCCAGCACAGCAATATTGTATTATAATTATATTATAACCAAACCAGCCAGAAAGGTTCAAAATTTTGAAGTTTTAAATGAATTGAAAAGTGCCGTTATGGAGGGGGGGGGGGGGGAGTTATGAAGGGGCATTCAGTGAAGGTGTGCCAAGGCTTGGGATGTCCAGGTGCGCATGCTCCCCCTCCTATCCCCCCTCCTTCCCCCCTCCTAACCCCCCCCCCCCTCCCTTCCCTGAAATATTGAAATGTACGATGCTTCTTCCCTTATTGTAAGGCAACTAGTATAATTTAGAATAAACTCAAGAACTTTAGTATTCCATTTAGATTTAGGCCCATGTTACTAGTATTAATCTGGCCGGGGGGGGGGGGGGGGGGCCTTTAGATCCGCCACTGTGCATACCAAAGTTAATATGGCTTTTTATTGCCTTACAAATGGGTTACACGGTAAATTAAGGACAAAATACTTGGATGCAGTTTTCTTTCTTGAATACAAATATCAGAAGGAATTAAATCCATGCACTTAATTGTCTTCAATCATGTTTTTGCGTCATGGTCCAAATCTGTCGATATGTACTAAGATTCGTTTTAGCAGGCTCTTATATAGAATCATTCACTGCTATGACATAGGAAATATTTCTATGTGACCCTGCTAAAACAAGTCTTTTGTGATGAGGTTAAATATTTTTAATGCTGCAGGGTTAGGAACTGTTGTTGTAGATCTGAAAATCGGTACACCAACAAACAAGTATGCATGCACAGTCCCTCCATGTACAGACCCCAGGTCACTGCACATGCGTAACGGATGAGAATAGACTTTTGTTAAACCAGAAATTTTCCAGTGCACACTCCCACATTGTCCTTCCTGCAACGTACCAATACCAGACAGACAGGCTGCTCTCTCCACCTGACTACTACACCTGTACTTTTGAATGCGCCCGTTAGAATGAGTCACCGTCATCACTTTTGATACTGCATCAGTACAATTTGGATGGCACCTTAATCAGTGCACATGCGTAATGGATGAGAAAAGACTATTGTTAAACCAGAAATTTTCCAGTGAACACTCCCACATTGTCTTCCTGTAACGTACCGCTACCAGACCTCTCCATCTGACTACTACACCTGTATTTTTGAATGCGCCCGTTAGAATGAGTCACCGTCATCACTTTTGATATTGCAACAGGGGAGTTTGGATGCCACCTTAATGTACTTGAACATTTCAAGAACTCTACCTGCTTTTTAGGTGAGTTTTTTCTTAACTCTCAAAGAGAACAAACATGTATTTTCTGATATGTATATTTTTCCTTTTCTTTTTTTCTTTTTGTGTGATCAGGTACGACCCAATCACCTTTTTGAAATGGTGAGAATGAATTTTTGTTCCCCCCCTGGACAAACATTCTCCATGACTTTTCATCTAAACAGTTGATGGTATAAACTTGAAACTGAAGTCAGCAAATATCGACCCTGATCACCTAGACGTCATGATGATGTCATCAGGTGCCAAATTACAGCGTTACTGGAAATGCAATGATAATTGAATATAACTTGAGAACAGAAGCATTTTACTACAATTAAACAAATTATGGAAATGTTTAGTGAAAGATGCCAAGCCAAAAAAAAAAATATGGCACGGTTATGCTATGTCAAGAAAATAAAAACAAAATTAATTTATAAACCATTTGTCAAAATGTTTACATATTGCCCCCAGATATTCTTTGGACAATTTTTTTTTTAAATTGAAATCCAACATTTGATCCGTGTCCAATATCTGTTCGTAGCACAAATAATGATATCCAGTACAATGTTAACCTTGGGCTGCAAACTGACGTGATATCACCAACCTGGAAGAAAGGTGTTATTAATGCATTCACTTAACCAGTTCGCGCCGGGATTATTTTGACATTGACCAGACCCAGGCGCGGAATTGTTTCGATGCCAATCGGGTTCAGGCCGTCATCTGCTGGTAGCACACCCTCATATCAGAGATGAAACTGGCATATATGGGATAAAAAAATCGGATTACCAATTAGAATCAGGAAAGTTTCATCTCTGTGATATTTCCAGTCTCACTCTCCTCAGCCTTGCTCGTTGCATGTTTATCTGTCATCCGTTCCAAATACCGCAAAACATTTGAATGTACACACGTCCTCTGACGTGAACTGGTAAAACGTTCATTAGAATTTTCATATTTGCAGAAGTTGTTTTCACTTCATGGTGAACATGTATCCTCTCTGAGCTTAACAAGCATTCAGTTTGCACATTGTTACTGATGGCGTCATGAAACTAGAAATAACATGCACGTTTTAATAAAATGTATTGAAATATTATACTCCAGAAGGTGTCTTTTTAAAACTAAAAAAAAAATGGTTTGACTGGAAAGGCTGAATTTCATGATCCTTTTTCTGTTCTGACATATTCCCAACTGGACAATGTCCTATGAAAAAGTTTTCGGCCCGATCACCTAGTATAAATTTGTAACTAAATAAATGCGAATCTCTAGTTTTGTTTTTTGAAATGCTACTACATGTATGCCTGACGTAATGTGTATTTTTTTCTTATCTTACTGAAAAGGATGTTAACTTGCATGGAGTGGTCAAGCTACATTTTCCAAAGTTAATGCATAATTAGTCAGTTATTCCCAACATTCAATTAAATGTAGAGTACGTTGTGCACCTTGATTTCAAGGTATCTTTTTTGTTTTTTTCCCTTCAGTTTTTGGACCTCACAAAGAAGGAAAGATGGCATCAAGACAGCCTGATGTCACAGTTCAGTCTGTGTTGGGTAAGATCAGTCGAGATCATCTGGAATGTCCCATTTGCTCCGACCGTTTCACTGAGCCTAAGGTGCTTGACTGTCTGCACTCTTTTTGCCAGAAATGTCTCGAAAAAGTCAGACAGAGTCAACGTTCACAGGATGCAAAACTTGTGTGTCCCCTCTGCAGACGTGACACCATATTAAAGGGAGACGTTTCCGATTTGCCAAGTGACTTCAAACTGAGCGCCTTGGTGGATGAGGTCAACGTCTATGAAAAGTTACTTGAAGGTCAAAGGTCGGAGATCAAATGTCAAGCCTGTGATGAAGAGAATCAGGCTGTGTCAAGATGCATGGACTGTGATCATTTTCTCTGCAAACAATGCCAGGCAGCACACAAGCGTTTGTCTTTAATGAAAACGCATCAAATCTACACACTGGCCCAGCTTCAATCAGGAGAGGTAACTTACAAGAGTAAGATTAGAGAGTACACTCCAAAATGTGGCAAGCATTCCGATCAAAATCTCACTATTTACTGTAACACATGTGAGAAGTTGGTGTGCACAACTTGTGCTATTCTAGATCATGAGAGACACTCTCGTGTTGATCTACCTGAAGCTGTCGATAAGTGCAAACGAGATGTTGCTAGAATGTCTGTAAAAGCTGAACAGAACAAAGCAAAACTGAAAACAAACATAAGTGAAGTAGATGACAACTACAGAAAGCTGAATGCCATGCATGCAGACACCACCAAGAAAATCTCCAGTAAGGCTGACAAGGAGGTAGCTAGAATCATGGAGGAGATTTCAAGGATCAGAGAGAAAGAGCAGAAATTGAAGGAGGAGGCAGATACAGTCTTGAAAGACAGAACCAAGACATTGGAAACTGCTCGTGCCACAAATGACAGTCGTCTGACTCAGACTGAGAAAAAACTGGATGAGGTGAACCAATTCATGGTTCAAGCAAGTTGCTACGAGATTCTGGATTTCAAGCCTAAACTCCTGTTTAACCTGAAAGAATTGACTGAAGAACAACCTGAGAAAGAGCTGGATAGTTTGTCCTCCATTATGGATTTTGATGAGGCGGAGGGTATTGGGAGGCTACTTGGGAGGCTGGTGCTGGATGATACACAAACACTCAACCTTGAGGGTTCACAGAGAGCTGTAAGATGGGAGCTGAAAAGACAGATGAAGACATTTGGACAAACAAAGAAAACATTTGGCAATGTTGATGGAATTGCAGCATTCTCTAATAATGATATTGTCGCATTAGACAGGGGGCATAACATGGTGATTACTTTCTTAACAAATGACGACCTCCAGTCTGATGTAATTTCACAAGAACTCCAAATTGCAGGTCTTAATCATCCATCCCATGTTTCAGTAAACAAGGATGATGAAATAATCATTCTTGATGACCCTAAAGTCATGACCTTCAAGAAGGATTCGCCTCCCTGTCTCCATCAGTTCCTCCCTGGTAGCTACAGGGAGATGGACAGCACCCCAACCGGCCTTGCAGTGGATGACGGGGATATGATAGCAGTGGGTTATGAGGAAGAAGAAGAGATCTCACTGCACAAGAGAGACGGATCCCTCATCAGGAGAATACCTGCTCCAAAGATCGGGTCAAATTTGATTATCTATAAGCAGCAGCTTGTCTACACATGCAAAAACAAAAAACAACTATCATCAGTTGACAGCTCGGGTAACAGAGTCTTTTCAGTTGATATTCCCAGCCATGAGAATAAGCAAGGGAAGTGGTACGCTAACGGTCTGTGTTGCGACAAAGATGGCAACATCTACGTTGCTGTACATGGGTGGCCTTTTATGCATGAACAAGGCGAAGTTCAGCGTTTCAGTCATGATGGACAGTACATAGACTGTGTCATCAAGGAGTGTGGTCACCCAGATGGCATCTCATGTACACCAGCTGGTGGACTGGTTCTGGCTTCAGGAAGTTGTATTCTAGTTTATCATCAAGTGTAAACACCGACAACGAATGTCAAAAACAAATGGGGGGGGGGGGCGGGACGAACCTGTGTTCACAGGAACGGAGTGCCCATCTCTCATTCATTAACGATTGGGACAGACTCATATGCTGCTGTGGGGGGATCGCCACACCTCCACGGCGAGTCTGTTACCTTCCCAGCATTGAATAATACCGGTACCCATTTAACACCTGGGTTGAGAGGAGCAATTGAGGTAAAGCGCCTACTCAAGGGCACAACATGCATGGCCACGGTGGGGCTCGAACCCACAACCTCTCGATCACGAATCCTGTGCTCCACTCCAAAAACAACAACAAAACATTTACATACACAAAGAACTAACAGAAACAAAAGCCAATTGTTTTGCATGTACAGGAGACTTGCAAAACGATGCTGGCTGTGTGTCATCATATCAATGTGTTCATCAAATGGACATCATACTCAAGACATCTGAGCTGCTGATGGCAGACTTGGACTGGGTTAAAGTTTATCACGTGTTTAAAGCTATCATCAAATAATCATAGAGAAATGACTGTATAACTGAAACATGATATAGTTGTAATGTACAAATGTATTTACAGGAAACATGATAAAGTGTGCCTCAATCAGTTTTCATACATCTTTAAGCATGTACAAATATAAAGTGCAAAAGCAATTGTGGGAGGGTCACAGCATTGCAAATATTCAGCAAAACATAGAATGTAGTAAATATGCTACAAAGATCCTTTCTTTTCGAGTTGCGTGTAGCTTCTTTCAAACAAACCAAAAACAAACTTTAGAATCTCCAATCAAATTCTAGAAATTGGTATCTCTGACTTTACTATCAAAGACAATAACTAGGTTTAATGCAAAATCATATTATCGATTATCTGGAGAAGGAAAAATGGTTTTGAGATTTCAGTAGAGAGTGTTATATGTAACACAGGCAAAGATCCAGGAATTTCAAAGAAGGGGTAGGAACACTCTAAGGGATAAAATCAGTTTTGACAGTGAATTAGAGCACTGTCAAGACAATATCTTGGATTTGGACCTATTATATCTATAAGTTTGTGAGACCTGTGAGTCTACTTAGAAATGTGTAAAGTACATGTAAATATGGCTTTTCAGCTTGTCAATAGGCAAACAAGAAAAAGAAAAAAAGAATTGATTGATTTTTGTACCTTGCATTTAAGCTTAAAGATGTACTGCCCCTGCTGGTTTTGAGTTTCACCCCAAAAAATCATATGCAGCCAAAGTACAATTCAGCACTGGCATGTTAGACTGGTTCCTACGTCCCTTTTAGATTCGATAATGTGGGGATTGGTAACCAGTCTACTCACAGGGTGGATCTGTGTGCAACAGCTACCCAATATAACAGCTTTTCTTTCAGAGGGTTGCACACTTGCGCAAAATTGAAGAAAAAGAAGAAAATCTAAACCAATTTTTTCATAAAATTTTTTAAAAAGGCAAAAGTTAAAATTTATTGGGAAAGATTCAAATTTGGTGACAAGCATAGACAGTATCTTCATATGTTGATTACCAGTGTGTAACAGAGCTACAAAAATTATAATTACATTACTGGAAAGGATGTAACACCATCTGTACTGCTTGCAAAAGATTGATATACTCCAAGTATAGCAAATGGCCCTAACTATAGTTTGGACAGTCCCAGTTGTACCACGGGTAGTAGGTGCAAAACCCAACTAAACCTAGAACGATCCCAACTATAATTGGGATTTTCAAAACTGTAGTTGAGATGATGCTATACACATGTACCTTGGGTTAAAAACAAGATGAATTCATTCAAAGTGAATATATTAACTTTTTTAATAGTGAATTTTATCACTGAGGTGTAATTTTATGAGTCTGGAATTCATGGTAGGATAAGACTGCCAAATGCTGGCTCAAAAAATGCAGACACTCATCATTAGTTTTAGCCAGAGTTGCTACACTAGATCTCCATTTGTATAAAGCATTGTTATTTTTAGGACTTAATACATGTATGGCGTTGACATATTAGATTTTTTGTCCTTAAAAATAAAAAAAAAAGATATGTGGACTATTACATTTTTCAAATACATTTATCTCTCTTTGAATAAAGTGTTAATGGTGCCTTTTAAATGTCATCTATATATAGAGCATGTTTAACTCGTCCTCTGAGAAATGTTTGCTCCTGAACGGTCTCCCGCCATGCCAAAATCACTCCACGTCCGTGGAAAAATGTGGAGGGTGTCTTCCGGCGGTTCGGACACTTCGGGTCGTCCTAATTTTTCCGTACGAACCGGCGATCCGTTTCGTCGATTTTTCGTGACTGCATTTTTGCACAGGAATTGACGTCATGTGCGCTTTCACATTAACTGCCTGGCCGCCCTCTGTGTTGGCTTTATTTCGAGTCAAGACTGGGCGTGGTCAGCGGCTTCAACGAAGGGGCTCCGTTTACGTGTTCTACTTGCCCGTTCTACAACAGTGTTCACCAAACAGTAGTCTGGGGATGACCTTGGCAAAATATTTTTTCTCCATGGTGCATGGCCACCAAGTGTCCCTATTGTTTCCTATGCTTTGCTTGCCGCCCCTACGCCGAGTGCCATGAATACTTATAAGGACCACACATTAGTATACCTTGCGCGGTCTGCATCAGACCAATCTAAAGCCTGCACTGCGTACTTACGGGCTATGCGTAAAACCGTCGATGTCAAATCGAGGAAATGAGGTTGGGTCTACAGTGGAGGCTTGCTATGTTAAGTACAAGCGTGTGACGTGATAGAGTGCTGTTGCTTCCAACTACGCCCTACCCAATCTATGATCAGGTAAATCAGCTTGTTTCTCATAAAGATGGAATTGGTGTCATAGAATGTGAATTTAGAGGTTCAAATATATTTCAGGAGTTTATTTCCCGTAGTCTTCCTATTTTACATAATTTGGGGGAAAAAATGCTTTACCGATGAACACCTCTTATGACATACATGTATCTAACATATTAATACTATAAGAGCATGATTAATTTGTTGAATTGTTAACAATTAACAATATTTGTGATCTTTGAAATCAATTCTGAATGCTGCGTGGTATCCCATCTTTTGCATGTGGTCCCCCCTGTCTTTTCCAACTTTCAATTGTTTCAATGGGACAGGTTCTACAAGTTTCTGCCGGGAAATTTTATTCTGCAGTGGCGCACGGCAGTGTAAAGCAATTACTTTGAGCATGCATGTTTATGGCTTTTTTCAGCTTACAAATTCGCAAGTTATCAACTTGTGAACACACAAAAACATGCAGACTTATAAGGTACCTTCCATACCTACTGTGGATCAAGGGCATCAATTGCTTCTCAAAATGGGGGGAGGGGGGGAGAGACATGCTTTGATCACCACTAATTCAAGTGCATAGAGCGAAGCTCTTAAAGCATGGGGTTCGGGGCCCTTAAACGAGAAATGTTGGATACTGAGGCAATTTCTGACCACCTTAACCAAACTGTTTTTTAGCAAAAGATCATCATTTAAACATCATTTACACATTTGGAGTCATTGAATCAGTTATTCTGAGCTCAAAGCTATAGAATCAAATATAGGCTACAAATTTTATTCGGGGACAGAAAAAAGTGGGGGAGGAGACACGACATGTCCCCCCCCCCCCCAGTCCCCCTCCGATTGACGCTCATGCTGTGGACATTCCTTTGTATTCGTGTTGTTAAGAAAAAAAACCGACAAAAATCTCTTTGCAATGTGAACACTGTTTCAACCCAATTTTTTTTATAATGATTTCCTTGAGTGTTCCTCTTCATTTTGCGACAAAAATGCCTCTAAACCTGTTTTCCAGAGAGGGGGAACCTAGTGTGGACGTGTGCAAGTCCACAAGACGTCCACACTTCCTGCATCCTGTGGACGGCCTCTTTTGGTCACAGGTCCACAAAGAGGACATGCAAGATTAGAGCACACATACGCATGGACCCTCTACTGTCTCTCTTTTGTTTATATCTTATCTTTTTTTAGGAAGACCAGTCACCTCCCATATGTTTAATCTTTCTCTATGGTTGAATTTACACACTCAAAAAGTGTAATCTCGCCCAGTCCTAGACCCTACTGTCCTCTATTGTTCAAGGTCCATTATTTGAAAGTAGATATGCACAAACACCTTTTTCTGTTTTACGGTAAGCTGTAATTGATGCATAGTCCATACTAACAAAAAATCATGGGAGGAAATGAATTGTAAATGGATCTGAAACTCAGTGTACTATCACAATGTCATACATTGTACAGTGCATCCTGTGACCCTAGGTCATTGCACATTGTATGCACACACAGCCATGTCTCCAAATAACATGGCTACGACTGGCGATAACACACCAGTTTATGGGAAATGGCTGCACCTGCTAGCCAGTGGCTTCCATTGATAGGCCTGTTATTGGCTGTGGCTAACTGGGTCGGACGTGACCTAAAACTGATAGTTCCTGCTGAACACACCTAGCTACATCCTGCTACACATACAGAGAAAACAACTCTCTGTACATTAATTGCTTCTGCACTTGTACTGTTCAAATGCAGCCATATTTCAACAGGACAGTTTGGATACCGCTTTATATTTGCCTTGAAAAGTCAGGAACTCTCTGCCTTTCAAGTAAGTTTCTTGCTTACCAAAAAACAACTAAGGGTTTTTTTTTCTAACATTTGTAACTGCAAATGGCTAATTTAGTGCAGTGGGTTTTACAAGTAAATTTAACATTAGTATGCAACTGAACTCCAATTTCTTTACATAATCTGAAGATTCGCTCACTGTTATGCATTGTCTGCAATATTTGAACATTTTTGTCGACACAAAGTGTGACAGGGAGCTTGATCCTCAAAGGTACATGTATTATGGAAAACATACGTATTTGCATGGGTTTTAATTTCACCATGTACAATCCTCATTCAAATATTACTACTTTTTCTTCTGGCGTTCGAGTTACAGTGCCTGTAGAGCACTTTTGAGGATTCCAATTGGTTTCATTACCAGAAAGATATAAATAAACTTTAATGTCCTAGTAGTTGTGGGATATTAATAGGGCTAATCTTGCAAATGCGGTTTAATGAAGTCTTCTGCTTATTGTAAGACTTGCTGAAATTTACTTCCAACTTTACCAAGCTTTCCTTTGGCAGAAATGTTAATACCATTGTTTTTTGAAATCCTACTACATGTACATGTATGCCTCAGGAAACTGTACAGATTTTCTTATCTTATACTGCAAAGGATGTTAACTTGCATAGAGTTAATGACCAAGCTAAATTTTCCAATTGTAGTGCCTAATTATCCCTGTCTTTAAATTAAATGTAGAGTTGTGCAGTTTGATTTCAAGGCTTTCAGAGGTATATTTTTGTTTTATTCAGTTTTTAGACGTCACTAAGAAGGAAAGATGGCAGCAAGACAGCCTGATGTCACAGTTCAATCTGTGTTGGGTAAGATCAGTCGAGACCATCTGGAATGTCCCATTTGCTCCGACCGTTTCACTGAGCCTAAGGTTCTTGACTGTCTGCACAGTTTCTGTCAGAAGTGTCTCAAAGAGGTCAGATGTCAACTTCCACACGATCCAAAGCTTGTGTGTCCCCTCTGCAGACGTGAAACCATTCTAAAAGGAGACGTTTCCAATTTGCCAAGTGACTTTAAACTGAGTGCCTTGGTGGATGAGGTCAATGTCTATGAAAAGCTACTTGAAGGTCAAAGGTCACAAATCAAATGTCAAGCCTGTGATGAAGAGAATCAGGCTGTGTCAAGATGCATGGACTGTGATCATTTTCTCTGTAACAAATGCCAAGCAGCACACAAGCGTATGACTTTAATGAAATCACATCAAACCTACACATTGGCCCAGCTTCAATCAGGAGAGGTAACTTACAAGAGTAAGATTAGAGAGTACACTCCAAAATGTGGCAAGCATTCCGATCAAAATCTCACTATTTACTGTGACACATGTGAGAAGTTGGTGTGCACAACTTGTGCTATTGTAGATCATGAGAGACACTCTCGTGTTGATATACCTGAAGCTGTCGATAAGTGCAAACGAAATGTTGCTAGAATATCTGTAAAAGCTGAACAGATCAAAGCAAAACTGAAAACAGACATAAGTGAAGTAGATGACAACTACAGAAAGCTGACTGCCATGTATGCAGAAACCACCAAGAAAATCTCCAGTAAGGCTGACAAGGAGGTTGCTAGAATAACAAAGGTGATCAGAGAGGAAGAGCAGAAACTGAGGCAAGAGGCAGATATATTCTTCAAAGACAGAGCCAAGACACTGGAAACTGCTCGTGGCACAAACAGCAGTCGTCTGACTCAGACTAAGAAGAAACTGGAAGAGGTTAACCACTTCATGGTTCAAGCAAGTTTCTATGAAATTCTGGATTTCAAGCCTAAACTCATATATAACCTGGAAGAACTGACCAAAGAACAATCCAAGGAAGAGCCGGACAGTTTGTGCTCCATTATGGATTTTGAGGAAGGTACTGGAACGTCACTTGGGAGGCTGGTGCTGGAGGATACACAAATACCCAGCTCAGATACCACAGATGAGACTTCACAGACACCTGTAAGATGGGAGCTGAAAAGACAGATGAAGACATTTGGACCAACAAAGAAAACATTTGGCAATGTTGATGGAATTGCAGCATTCTCTAACAATGAAATTGTCGCAATAGACATTGGGCATGAAAAGTTGATCACTTTCTTAACCAGTGACAAACAGTCTGATATAATTTCACAAGAACTCCAACTTGCGGGCCTTACTAACCCAACTCATGTTTCAGTTAACAGGGATGATGAAATCATTGTTCTTGACAAACCTTCTGTCAAGATCTTCAAGAAGGGTTACCAACCCTGCCTCCATCAGTTCCGACCAGGTGAGGAGACAGGCAGCACCCCAACCTGCCTTGCAGTGGATGACGGGGATATCATAGCAGTGGGTTATGAGGAAGAAGAAGAGATCTCACTGCACAAGAGAGATGGATCCCTCATCAGGAGAATACCTGCTCCAAAGATTGAATCAGAGTTGATAATCTATAAGCAGCAGCTTTTCTACACTTGCAATGGAGATAATAACGAAAGACTTCTATCGTCAGTTGACAGCTATGGTCACATGGACTTTTCAGTTGATATTCCCAGCAATATTCAAGGGAAGTGGTATGCTAATGGTTTGTGTTGCGACAAAAATGGCAACATCTACGTTGCTGTACGTGGCTGGCATTTTGTACATGATAAACAAGGTGAGATTCATCATTTCAGTCGTGATGGACAGTACATTGGCCGTGTCATCAGTGAATGTGGTTGTCCAGGTGACATCACATGTACACCAGCCGGTGACAAACTGGTTTTGGCAACACTAGAAAGTGTTCAAGTCTATCATCGAGTGTAAACATTGACAATAAATGTCAAAATAATGACACAACAAAAAGAATTGAAGAATTGTTCCGCACCTACAGGGACCAATTTCTCAGCGCTGCTTAACAGTTAGCGGAAAAGTTGTGCTTAGCATAGCAGACAAATTTGCTAACCTTTAGCACTATTTCACGGCGTGGACGTGCTAACGGTTGCGCGTGCATGGAGATTTCTATTGTTACGTCACTATAAGTTAAGCAAAGTTTTCCTCTGAAGTAAGCGTGCCTTTTGCTTTTCCAATGGACGTGCATACTCACATCTGAGTTAGTCATGGCTGAAATGGTCTTGGTTAAAGTCTATCATCAACTGGTCAAAGAGAAATAAGTGTATAACTGAAATAATGCTCTAGCTTTATGTGCATGTAACCATGAACCTGAGAACGAAAAGGAATTTGAAAATAGGGGGTCAGACTAGACCACAGTCCCAGGAATAAACTTTTGTATTTTAGGCTGCTAATGGGTCTTTCCGTGTCAAATCACAGAATGGGTTAAACCCTACCCCTTTCAAATTGGTTCATATTTAGTGCATGGGATAATTTAGGCCGAAAAAAAGCTGAAATCTTAAGTTGGTATACATGTACTTGTTGCAAAAACTGTACATGTACATGCACACAACTCTTACATTGCATAGGAATATCACATTTTGCAACACAAGTATGCCAACTCTGAGATAAGCTAGAAAAGAAACAAATATGATACACCCACTTTTTGGATATTTTGTAGAAAACGTGTTGGGGTATAATTTTCATCCGAGTCCGTCTTAAGCTAAGGTTATATTCGAGGTCAAAGTAAAGGTCAAAAGGTTATACTTCAAATTGCTCCGAGATAAAAAATACATTTGGATTTCATATGATGTAACCTTTCCAAAGAAACCGAGATTAACAAATTTCAGCCCACAGGTTAGGCCAAAAAAAAAAAGTCTCCAGTTTCTGGTATGGAGCTTGCCCCAAAAGTGGTGCGGCGACGCGGCTTTTTTTTTTTTTTACCTGTTTTTTTTTTTTATTTGGCTTCAAATGTCGGCTGATGACTGCAAATGGTGCCCGACTAAACTTAGTGCAAATATATGGGAGTCCAGAGAGGCCACATAAAGCTTATTCTCGATCATAACCCCATCTAAAAACACGTTAAAATTGTGCAGCAGCAGAATTCCAGTCAAACCAGTGAGTTTGGCGGTTTTGAGACATCATCTTGTACTGAAAAAAAACCTTTTTCATTTTGCCGACGTGCATGGCTACGGCGACGCGCACGCATACCAGAAACCGGAGACTTTTTTTTTTTGGCCTTATGGAGATGTGCCTGTATTGGTCATTTAAAAATTGGTTGCCATGCCCGTTCTGATTGGCAAGATTGCCAAAAAATGGCAGGCGCTAGCACAAAAACTGTTGGTCTGATGGCACTAAACCTTTAATTTTCAGCCTTTTCAGCCTAAATTACCCCATACACTAAAACTGAACCAATTTGAAGGGGGTGGGGTTGAAACTTTTAATTTTATTGTCTGATTTGTTGACACGGAAGGACCCTATTAATGACCTTATTTTGGAATGTGTGAGAGAATTGCAAATATGTAAATGTGAAGAAATATTTTGTATTTTAAATGAAGCTCTCCCCCCCCCCCCCCCCCCAAAAAAGAATAAAGACAACTCGGCAATAAAAAGAGAATTAAGATCAATTGGATCTGTACCTGTAATACCTGTGTAAGTTTTATTTGTGAGACTTGTTCAGTTCAGTTTTTTTTTCCACAGTACCAAAAAAAAATATCAATGACAATGACAATCTTATAGAGAATAGCAGAAAAACATTTTGAATAAAGTCGAAGATAAGCAAACAATAAGTATGGAAGATACTGTGGAGGGACTTAAAAAGAAGCAGAGCTTGTAAGCATGCGTGTGCATTGAGCCAAATGGGATTTTGTTATGTTAATTTGTTGTTTTGTTTAATTTTGGAGTCTTGTGAGTCTACTTGTAAATATGGATTTTCAGCTTGTAAATAAGCAAATGGAAAGCAGGAAATATTTTGATTAGATTTTCTACCTTGCACAAGCTTGAAGGTAATACACAAAATTTGCTTTTGCCATTACATTTCCAGAAATGGATAAATTTGGGGGTAAGTATCTTGAAGCAAGTAGTGTTACACTGACCTGTTTAAAGTTTTTTGTTCATAGATGCTTGAAAAACCAAGAAAAAATGCATTTCTTGAAGCCTGATCCCTGACCCTACTTCATACAAAACAGAGCAATTGGGAATTTTCAGGTCAGGAAACCAGACTAGCTTGCACCCATTCACGGATGTGTAAGCGATTCCAAACAAAATGCGGACTAACTAAATTTGGTACAATTGGAACATTTGGAAGCAGTTATTTTTTATAAACTCATTTTTGTCCAACAGTGGTCAGCCGACTTGGAAATTGATACAAAAATTCCCAGTTTTCTTGAAAATTACAGGTGCATTTTGTAATAATTTGGTAGTTTTGTATTGTGATGTTTGCAAATAAATTGTATATTATATTTTAAAGGTGAGCTGTGAGTTTGAAAGTCATCCACTTTAGAATGTGACAACAGAACAATTTCGATTTACTTTCAGTCACAGATGAATTACTTCAGGAAATTTAGAATTATTTGTTGGCCAACAATAATCCAGCTCTCGCAGGGTAGACTGGTTCCCGCCTCCCTCTTAGAATACATAATGTGGAGATTGGGAACCAGTCTACTCACAGGGTGGATTTGTTTGCGTGCGATAGCACCCAAATAAAAAAAAGCCCAAAACAGAAATAAACCAAAAACACATTTCTTTTCCTGTTGAGAAAAACAAACACAGGTCCAACTCCGTCCTGATAAAAAAGTTGAATTTTTTGAAGAACATATACAGTACATCTTCATATGTAGGATTCTAGTTTGTAACACAGCTACAAAACTATCGGTTTAAACAATAAAAACAGATATTTGAATGAAATAGTTTGTAATTGTTTAGGAACAACGGCTGATGGAGTCACAGGAAATATAAAAATAACCTCCCGCTATCATGATGTCATACATTCAGGTACTCTACCTGCACTTGCAAAGTAATACACTGGTTCAGTGCACAAGCTTAACATAAAGTGTATTGTTAACTCACAAGTATTTTGTATTTTGCCACTTCCTGGTGAGCTCCAACGTGTCAGCAATCGCAATATTTTCCACCAGATTCAACCTCGCAAATGACGAAACTTCAGAGGACATCTTTATAACAGTACACGTAAGTTTGATTGCTGGGTTCAGATTATCCAAACAGATGCAGAAGATGCATTCTGCAGATTGACAGTGTTTGTCATGGACAAGATTTTGGTCTACTTTTCTTTTTGCAGTAAATGGACAATAAGCCCGAAAGTTATGTATCACCAAATTTTGATAAAAGAAAACCTTGGAATTAGAAAGAATCTTCATTGTACATGGGCTTGGAGCTCTGTTCTAATTTACGATTGGTGGACTTCTCCATTTGGGTCATTCTATTCATCTGGGTCCACTTTTTGTCTGTCCCTGTTAGATCATTCTGATGCACTGATGAAGTTGTCCTCCAAAGAGTGATTATGAATAGCTAAATACCCACACAGTTAAAAAATAAAAAAAAACATTAGGAAGTCCTTCTTAATGACACTTGAATGGAAAATCATAGGACAGGCAAATGTCACACTCTGGACCCTAAATTTATAGAATGACCCATTAAAAAAAAAAAAGTACCTTTTCAAAATGGATAATAACAAGTCAGGAAATTAAATGTGCACTAAATTATGCCTCTGACCATGTATTTTCTTCAATGAGAAAGGTACATAAGTCATTATTCTGATAATCAAAGAGAAAAGAGTACATAGATGGGAAATAGAAATTTGATATTTTATCTCACATAAAAATGGTACAAGCTGAAATGAATGTAGACTATTGCCGCTGCTTTTTCACACACACACAAAACTGAAATTAGTGGCCACCATTCTAAAAGACTAGACTGATCAGTTGGCATACAAGCTTCTCATCTGAACTTTTACATGTGTGCCTAACAAGCAGTACAGTATCTGCACATTTGTGAAGGTCACCTAAACTCCATCAACTCGAACATTTCTTGCAGTAAAAGCGGAAGTTCAACATGAAATGACTATAAAGACCTCGGACAAAAGTTGCGAACATCATTAGGAGACTGCAATAGAATAAAAGCAAGGATTTTTACAAACGTTTTGCTGGAAACACTGAAGTTACTGTCCGTGATCAGGACACACTTCACAATAAGATGGCATCGACTACACCACAACCGATTTGGACAAGGAGAGGGGCTACAATTCTAGACAGACTGCAGGCCGACCAACAGATTGCAGAATGGATGCAAGGTAAATTTACATTTTAGAGGTAATCAAATGATTGGTTGCATATCTTAACAAACAAAACAAACAAAAACCCACCAATGTTTTATTTATTGAATTCTTCAACAACATTTGACTTATTTGCTGCCCTACAAAAATTTGGCTATCACAGGGAGGATTTAATTGTGCACAAAATGAAATCCCCTTTTAAATATAGAAAACCAGTAATTTTTACTTTAAGAGCGGGGGGGGGGGGGGGGGGGGCATTTATCTTTAACCAGAATAATGCTGGACGCATGTACATGATCTGGCAATGTATATCCCCAGGGGCGGATGATGGGTGATGTCATTTGTTCCCATGGGTTCGTTTCCAAATATTGATCTGGGGGTTCTCAAGTGAAAATGCTTTTTATCTTTCTGTTTGATTAAGATGCTGCCGAGTCTGTACTCTATCCAGGCACTCATCAGGAACAATCACCGTGGTCTCCACCAAACTCGCCTGTTTCTGCTCTGCCAGGAGAAATTACCGTCAGTGCTGTTAATAGTCCTACCTTTTTGAGCCATGCAGAAGGAAATGTTTTCATTTACACGACTGTCGTGTTGTGCACGAAAGGTAATTTTGTCTACAGTTTGCTTGAGAGTGAAAAGAATCAGGTCTATGGGATGAATGTGTTTTTTTTGCTTACAATTAAACGAAATAAAAAATAAGAACAAACAAAACCACGTACTAAAAAAACAGAAAATGTTTTTGCACTGTTCCAACTTCTTTTTTTTTTTAAGATGTAAGTTTCCGTTTGTGGAACATCTGGTTACACAAACTCAGACACACCAAGAAAGCAATTCTTTCTCAATACTTACATTTCTCAATACAAAAAAGAGCTGAAGCACGTAATGCGTTCTTCGGTGAATAGGGAAAAACAGCCTGCGTGGTGAGTGGGTGGATATTGTGAACGGGAAAGGTGAACAAGTTCAAATGTCCTTTGTAGTCAATGTGCCTCGGGAAACTCACACATCAAATAAACACACCCATTTCCTTATTTTTCAGTAAATTCTCACTGCCTTGCAATTATTTTTAAAACGTTTCCTGTTGCAACTATGCGTGTCCTTTTATGTCATGCTGTGTACACATAATATTTCAAAATGTCTGGGAAAAAAATGTGATGATGAAAATTTCACCCAAAACATAGATCTTAAACAGGGCCAGATACATTAGTTCTTGCAAGCCACAAAAGCAAAGTTATTCAAAAGTGCCAAGGTAGATTACTGAAATCTAATTGAAAATTTCACATTAAATACTACAAATTTAAGATGGCAATGCAACAACTGTTTTTGACACAATGCCAGTTGTGTTACTCACAGATTTCAACAGTGAGAAATATTTACATAAATTTGAATGTACAACTTCACTGAAGTTGTACATTCAAATTTATGAAAATATTTCTCACTGTTGAAATCTACAAGTGCCTATTTACACAAATTTAATCAGAATACTCATATACTGCACCATAGGGCAACTATTGGAAATACAGTTTCATATGTATATTAATATATTTGTTCTCTCTCTTTAATTTTGAAGATGGTCTGGACCAACTCCAATTAGGAGACACTGCAGGGGGTGAGAAGGCCCAGCTTCCTCACAGTGCAGCTGGATGCGAAAAGCTCACGGCAGAAGTGTTCAAATGGGAGGGAAAGACAGAAATAGAGACCTTTGGGACACAAGAGAGAGAATTTGGACTGGTGGATGACGTTGCAGCATTTGCCAACAATGAAATCATTGTACTGGACAGGGGCAACGCACTGTTGATTACTTTCTTACCGAGAAGCAAGGACATGCCTCTCTCGCAAAAGCTGCAACTACTTGGTCTTGTTAACCCATCCCACGTGTCAGTGACTACCAACGACCTTCTTGTCATTCTAGATTATCCTAAAGTCAAGATCTTCAACCGGGCATATCAACAGTGCCTCCATCACTTTCAGCCGGGACCAGATTTGCACAGCATTCCATCATGTCTTGCAGTGGACAAGAACCTGATAGCCGTGGGCTATGACGACAAGGAAAAGATATCCCTACACAACCTAAATGGATGCCTGATCAAAGTGCTGTCGGCTCCGATGATGGGCGAGCACCTGTCAATCCACAGGCAACAGTTTGTCTACATCAGCAGGGACAAGAAAAAGCTTCAAGCAGTCGACATAAATGGCAAGTCGATCTTTTCATCAGATATCCATGGCAACCCTTCTGACAGCCAAGCTCACGGTTTGTGTCACGACAGTGAGGGCGACATTTATGTTGCTGTGCACGCTGGTCGGCTAAAGGAAGGTGAAATACAGCATTTCAGTCCAGACGGCACCTACACTGGATGTGTGCATCGAGTGCGTGGCTACCCAGCTGGTATCGCATTCACACCAGCAAGTGATCTTGCTATAGCTGCCGAAAGAAGTGTCAAAATCTACCCCAGTGGGCCTACTATTCATCGGCAGAATGCCTTACGCAAATAAATTCTACTAACTAAACAATGGAGATGAAGTCTACTAAACATCCTCGCAGGATTCAGAATGTACAACAGAGCTCAAAAGACAACTTTAAAAGAACCAACCATAATTAATGTAGAATGCATAAATAAATACCTGCTGAATCAAGACATCTAGGAAGGGTAGAATCACGCCCTGGCCTAGGAAGATCTTATCCAATGTTGTGGCCATCTCTTGTAAATACATGTAAATTGACATTGAGCATGATATTCTTGATCTTTTGTACATTGTATTCAAACTTACTTGATTGTCGGAGCTCCTGTTGAATCAAGACATCCAGGAAGGGTAGAATCATGCCCTGGCCTAGGAAGATCTTATCCAATGTTGTGGCTATCTCCAATCGGTCAAGGGTCATGACCTCTTCGAGCATGCTCAGTGGAGTGGAACGGCACTGTCATACACAAGAGTAAAATTACGCTTAATTCAGACATGGCAGAAATTCACATCTGTGACATCATGTCTTTCTCCTAAGTCTCGCGGTGTGCATTTTTCATGAAATCAAATTGGCTTTGCATTGAATTTGTCTGAAATACAATAAAGCCTTTTCTAAATCATTATTATCTGATTTCACGTTGCCCTTGCAAGGCCTGTGGCATAATTTCTCTGTTGCCTGCAATGAAGGGTCTTTGACTTTCCTATGAAAGGGCCCACGTAATGTAATTTTGTTTAATGCAATCCTTGAAAATGCACCTTTGCTTTCACGTTATTTTCAATTATCATTTTGCCATTTTCAAGGATATTTTGGTGTTTTTGGTTTTTATGCTAATGTAAATTTCCATATTCATGAGCAAAAGTGTGATGTCATTTCAATGTTACGGCTATTTCAGTATCAAAAGTTGACAGTATTTGGGATGTTTTGCTGTCGTACATTTTCCTTTTTTTGGTGATTCATTGTGTAATTACATGGCAGTTTGCCAATGAACAAACTTTTCTGACAAACGTTTTCCATGAGCAAATTTTAAGGTTCGCAATTTGAACAGAAAACCCTTAAATTGAAGAGTGTCTTCCTAAAATGACATCACAACAACAGCGTCCTCAGTTATCAAGAAAAGCATGAAAATTTGTTTAAATGTTTAAAGAAGTGCACTTTTCAATAAAATCAACGAAAAGGGATGTCAAATACATGTACTTTTCATTCATTTAAGAGGAACTGAACAGGGATGTGATTGGTCTGTGACAAAAGAGCCTGAAAATTGTATGCACGAAGTGCAAACTCCGACGAGCATGAAGTGCGAAGCCACTACGGGGTGGGCCGGGTCCAGGTTCTGCTTAAGGGCCCCAGGAAATTTTGGATTCTAGATGCTCTGTGGTGCAATCTGAGGCGATTACTGGGTACTTTCCACTAGCAACTGTCCATTGGAAAGTTGCTAAAAATGTGTTCATCGGGGAAAAATTAATCTCATGGAGCCTTTAAAAGCATGTTTTAGAAGCATGCTATCTCACAGATTATTTCAGCTGCCGAGGGTGTGTTTGCGAAAGGATTACCGTAGTGCGTAGATTCTACCAACTATTTTTACAGACTGTGGGTCCCATGTACAGTGTTTATAGGGACAACCATTGGTCATGACACATGAGTGGATGTCAGTATTTGCTTAGCACTGAAAGCAGAAGCTCTCTGGCTACAATGCAGGGTGCATTCCATTAGCTTTCCTGGGCCCAGTTTACAGCCTTGGCCACTCAAGTGGCATTTATCAAAACAGGGTTTGCCCTGTTTGCCCTGCGTGAGCTACAAAGATGGCCTCGCGTAGCTCTCAAAGGCAACTGCGACAAACCCTGTTTTTTTTTAGTCGGGCAGTGACAGGATTGCATCTGAAGACATGCTAATTGCAACTCAAGAAGCCCACAGTATACCAAGACGTTGAAAATGTCAAACAGAAACAAAGGGACCACAAATCCGTTTTTTTTAGTCTGTATATGCACCTACAATTGCTGTTCTTGTAGTTGGACAGCAGGTAATCCAGTCAGACATCATTCCATAATGATTACAAATGAGGAAAAAGCAGGTGATCTTGGACGTTAAAATTCTGTGACTGGTTGACCTTTGACATTTACCTGTGTGAGGATCTCAAGTGGGTAGAACCCTCTGTACTGATGAGGTCACACTATGGGGCTACGAAACCGTTCGCTACAAAATCATCGCCCCCACCAGGTTCCCATAAGAAAGCACACGTGTATACAAAGTGTGACGTCATCAGTACAGAGGCTACTTTGAACACTGAATTTCCTGCCAAGATCTGTGGTATTGGTCTATGTACCCTCCGAGGTATGAAACACCTTCCATGCATGGTGACGATTTAAGATTTTAGGCTTTGCATGGTGGAGTATCGATATCGTTTCGGTTTGCGGTAACACCATGTGGTAATAACTACTGCTCAGTAGATAGTTAGTTCTGAAAAAGAACTTGTTCAGCTTATTATCAACTTTTGCTACGTATTTTTAGTTCTGATAAGAACAGTCTTGCTTTAAAAGAACTTGTCTAGAACTAAAACTACTTAGGAAAAGTTGATAATAAGCAGGACAAGTTCTTTTTCAGAACTAATTATATAACCGACATACAGATCCTTGTCATTTGATTGGTGAAACTTACATCACGTCATATCCGTTATTACTCCCATTCACGCCAGGGCTCAAAAAGTCCTATTCGCCCATGGGGAATGGGAAATACTATTGAACAGTTAGGATTGTTCTTGTTCCGAGACGCGGCATTTGTGTGCAAATGCATGCTGGTGTGCGCGATCAGCATTGCGCGTAGCGCGTATCGTTCCAAAGAGCCAGCGCTACAGAGTTGGGTTCAAACATTTTCCTGAAGGGGTGGATTGAAAGAGAGAAATACATTTCCCATCAATTTTGTAGTTAAATAAAAGTTCAAATATATATCAAATAGCAATGATTTATATGTCAGTTATATAAAACAAGTATTGAGTGGCTTTAAATTGTGAAATTGGAGGAATATTATCGCTCGGTAAAATCTGGACTTTTCCAGTTCACTCGGCTTTGCCTCATGACATGGACAAGTCGAGATTTTACTTTGCGATAACATTCCTCTCATTTCACTCTGAGCCACTCAACATTTGTTTAATATCTACTGAGCAGTAGTTATTACCACATGGCGTTACCGCAAACTAAAACGATGACGATGATTGTTCCACATTGATTACCCTCTTACCTCGGTGTCCTGTACAGATTCAACAAGCAGGTCCACTAAGGGCTGATAATACTGAGACGGTAGGATTCTCTCCTCGCTGTAACGGGCTCGTATGCGTATGGACCCCAGATTCTTGCTGTCAGTCAAAGAAAAAAAGATTGTAATTGTAATAAAGTCCCTTCAGATCCATGAGATCAATATGTTTATGTTTGTTTTGTTCTGTTTTGGTATTTGTAAGGGAGGGAGGGTTGGTTGCTGGGAAGGAGGATTGGAATGATGAGGCTTAAGAACAGGATTTACACTTAAACCCAGTACAATTAGAATTTTCAACTGATTACTAAGATGGTACCGACTAAATCTCAAGAAAGTTGTAAGCCAGCTATTAATGCTCCTTATACAAATGGGGAGTTTACATCTTGGCAAGATGTGTGCACATAGCTCAAGTTGAAGAATGTATTAATGACATGCAATGCAAGCTTCACTCTTCCACAGTAATAATTCCACAACAACTTTCAATCCGTGAAATGTCATTTGTACAGGACCGTCATTTCCCAGGAAAAAGAGAACTGGAGCCGGATACGAACATGAACAATTTCTCCTCTGTACAGACATTTCTCAACGGTCATGCACTGTACTTTGGCTCGTTTACATGCAAAAACGATAGAGGCCTTTGCGACACCCGTCTATTAGTAGAGAAGACAGCCGAGCCTCAAAGGCCTGTATCATTTCCCAGAAATACGAGGAATTGGAGCCCGATACGAATATGACAAATTTCTCCTCCATACAGACATTTCTCAACGGTCGTGCACTGTACCCCGACTTGTTCACATCGAAAAGATAAAGGCCTTCGAGACACCCGTCTATTAATAGAGAAGAGCCTGATACGAACATGACAAATTTCTCCTCCTTACAGACATTTCTCAAAGGTCGTGCACTGCACCCGGACTCGTTTACATCTAAAACGATAAAGGCTTTCCAGACACCCGTCTATTAGAGAAGAGCCCGATACAAACATGACAAATTTCTCCTCCTTACAGACATTTCTCAACGGTTGTGCACTGTACCCCAACTCGTTTTCATCTAAAAGATAAAGGCCTTCCAGACACCCGTCTATTAGTAGAGAAGACGGCCGAGCCTCAAAGGCCTGTATCATTTCCCAGAAATAAGAGGAATTGGAACCCGATCTGAACATGACAAATTTCTCCTCCTTACAGACATTTCTCAAAGGTCGTGCACTGTACCCCGAATCGTTTACATCTAAAAGATATAGGCCTTCGAGACACCCGTCTATTAGTAGAGAAGATGGGCAAGCCTAGAAGGCCTGTATCATTTCCCAGAATAAGAGGAATTGGAACCCGATACGAACATGACAAATTTCTCCTCCTTACAGACATTTCTCAAAGGTCGTGCACTGTACCCCGACTCATTTACATCTAAAAGATAAAGGCCTTCAAGACACCTGTCTATTAGTAGAGAAGACAGCCGAGCCTCAAAGGCCTGTATCATTTCCCAGAAATAAGAGGAATTGGAGCCCGATACCAACATGACAAATTTCTCCTCCTTACAGACATTTCTCAAAGGTCGTGCACTGTACCCCGACTCGTTTTCATCTAAAAGATAAAGGCTTTTGAGACACCCGTCTATTAGTAGAGAAGAGCCCGATACGAACATGACAAATTTCTCCTCCTTACAGACATTTCTCAATGGTAGTGCACTGTACCCGGACTCGATTACATCTAAAAAGATAAAGGCCTTAGAGACACCCGTCTATTAGTAGAGAAGAGCCCGATACGAACATGACAAATAACTCCTCCATACAGACATTTCTCAATGGTTGTGCACTGAACCCCGACTCGTTTACGTGCAAAACGATAAAGGCCTTTGAGACACCCGTCTATTAGTAGAGAAGATGGCCGAGCCTCAAAGGCCTGTATCATTTCCCAGAAATAAGAGGAATTGGAGCCCAATACGAACATGACAAATTTCTCCTCCATACAGACCTTTCTCAAAGGTCGTGCACTGTACCCCGACTCGTTTACATCTAAAAGCTAAAGACCTTTGAGACACCCGTCTATTAGTAGAGAAAAGCCCAATACGAACATGACAAATATCTCCTCCATACAGACATTTCTCAACGGTAGTGCACTGTACCCCGGCTCGTTTACGTGCAAAAATGATAAAGGCCTTTGAGACACCCGTCTATTGGTAGAGAAGACGGGCGAGCCTCGAAGGCCTGTATCATTTCCCAGAAATAAGAGGAATTGGAACCCGATACCAACATGACAAATTTCTCCTCCTTACAGACATTTCTCAAAGGTCGTGCACTGTACCCCGACTCGTTTTCATCTAAAAGATAAAGGCCTTCGAGACACCCGTCTATTAATAGAGAAGAGCCTGATATGAACATGACAAATTTCTCCTCCTTACAGACATTTCTCAACGGTCGTGCACTGTATCCCGACTCGTTTACATGCAAACACGATAACGGCAACCGAGACACCCGTCTATTAGTAGAGAAAACGGCCGAGCCTCAAAGGCCTGTATCATTTCCCAGAAATACGAGGAATTGGAGCCCGATACGAATATGACAAATTTCTCCTCCATACAGACATTTCTCAAAGGTCGTGCACTGTACCCGGACTCGTTTTCATCTAAAAGATAAAGGCCTTCGAGACACCCGTCTATTAGTAGAGAAGAGCCTGATATGAACATGACAAATAACTCCTCCATACAGACATTTCTCAATGGTTGTGCACTGAACCCCGACTCGTTTACGTGCAAAACGATACAGGCCTTTGAGACACCCGTCTATTAGTAGAGAAGACGGCCGAGCCTAGAAGGCCTGTATCATTTCCCAGAAATAAGAGGAATTGGAACCCGATACGAACATGACAAATTTCTCCTCCTTACAGACATTTTTTAATGGTCGTGGACTGTACCCCGACTCATTTACATCTAAAAGATAAAGGCCTTCAAGACACCTGTCTATTAGTAGAGAAGAGCCCGATACGAACATGACAAATTTCTCCTCCTTACAGACATTTCTCCAGGTTCGTGCACTGTACCCCGACTCGTTCACATCTAAAAGATAAGGCCTTCAAGACATCCGTCTATTAGTAGAGCAGACGGTGAGCCTTGAAGGCCCGTATTGTTTTGTAAATGAGTACGGGTACAGTGCTCGACTGTTTAGAAATATCTGTACGGAGGAGAAATTGTTCATGTTCGTATCGGGCTCCAGTTCCTCTTATTTCTGGGAAATGATGGCCCTGTGCGAACGACAATTCGTGGATTGGCATAATGTAAGTAGTTCCTACCAAATAAATGCACTTTCAGCTCAGAAAACGGCACGGATGGAAAAGACAAATAGAAAGTCTGACCGTTGATGGCGGTAGCAAAATGAAGGGGGAGGGGGGGGGGGGCTGGACACCTTCTGGCTAATTGAGCCCACTTCAAATAATCATAAAAAAATCTCACAATCTCCAAGTGTTTGAGACACACATCAAATTAAAGCTTGTCATCTTTTTACATTTTCTGTTCAATTTTTTTGAAGGTTAACCATGATTTTTGGTAGAAAATTCCATCCAAAGATGATCACCCCTAAAAGTAGTCCTGAAGCCCGTCGCCATTTTGAAAAAGGATGCCTACGCTCCATTGCAAAATAGAGCAATTTTAGGGCTTAGGTTTATCCGAATTTCACAAAAAAAAGAGCTCGCAGTCCTCTTCACGGCTCCCACCTTTCTTTTTGACAAACCGTCGTGTCCCACAAAATGCACTAATACCAGAGAATTTCAGGTCAAGCAAATCATGATTAGTAGGCAAATCGTAGGCAATTTCGGGCCTATTAACTGGCCTGCACCCTTGAGGCGATGTTCAAAGCAGACAATCTTGGACACTAATGGACAACAGATGGTGCTCTTGCCAACAAAAGGGATTCATGGGCGATGATGTCCCTCCAACACCTACCTTCTAGTGACGCTCATGGTGGTTCATTTGATGACTATTAAAGGTAGGTGCCAACTGAGAACAATTATTTGGATGGGGGGGGGGGGTGTTACACTCTCCCTTCCAAGACATGCCTGGTTCACATCATCCCTAAATCAGGCCCAGGTTTGAGAGGAGATATCAGCCAAATCTAATCAGTCATAAATATTTATTTTTGTTTAATCGAGAACGAACCTCGCCTCCAAGTCTCTCTCTTTCTCCGGCCTGGGGTCCAGTCTCAGCCACCGTCGCACCGTCCTCCCAACGGGAAGTTCCGACACCGTCAACGACGCGCGCCCCATGAAGTCGTCATCCCCCACCCGGTCCCAATCCCACACCGTGATGTCAACAACAGCGCCCTCTAGTGACTCGGGTAGTGTCAGGGTAAACGTCTCGTGCCATCTGGGGAAACGTGTCTTCTTGATGGTCTACATTTTTCAGGAAGGAGAGAAAAAATAGCTTTTGAAATCATACGATTTGTCATATTAACCCTTTTCTTACCATGCATGGGCAACTTTTGTTGACAAGAAACTACCCTGTAGGCCTGCTGTTTACCATAGGTGACTTCAGTTGACGAGGAAACCATTCTCCGAACACCCACAACACATCTATATTCAATGCTCTTCAAGAAACTGGTATATTAGTATGTTTTTCCGCCCACACACCAACCATTTATCAGCTGAAAGAGTCTTTTCGGACTGTTTAAATTGTGTAAGTTAAGGAGAATACACAAGAAAGTATGGATTCATGATTTAAGAATTCATGAGGCGCGAAGCGCCGAGTGAATTTCGTAAACTAAGAATCCACACTTACAAGTGTATTCTCTGACTTTGTCCAGTAAGTGGAGATGAAAAGACTTGCATATCTCCTGTACTCGAGTCGTGGTCATTTAGGGTAATTTACAAGGGAGATTTTAGAGGCTCTTATACGTAAACAAGCATTGTGGCGTGTTTAGCATGTGTATCGCCACGCCGGTACAACCAAGTCATTTTGTGTGTAGGCTCCTTACGTCAACATACGACGATTTTCTTTCTGACTTAAAGTAGTTTTTGCAGTGACGGCGGAGAATCTGACAGTGAAGATGCATCGGTACTTACGGAAGGAATGTTTTCATGCAGACAATCCTATTAATGCTCATTAAGGAGAACAATTGTCTGCCATGTTCAAAGTAAGGATTCACAATTCCGAATCCACATTTTACTATTCGTCATTTCGAATCCACACTTTGTGACCAGTGTATCGGATTTGTAGTTCCGAATCCACACTGTTAAAAATATTGTTACGTCATAGCAATGGTTTAATTTATTCTTAGGGTTACCATTATGAAAATGTGAAAAAAACTGCTTCAGAATTATCCATGCAAAATTTAAAATATGGAGTGCCATTTGGTCAATCAACAAAGTGGTGTGGAGAGGGTTTAAGGTAATACTTAAAAGTAAGGGTTACACTTTAAAGCAGCACACCTGTGTCACAAAATTCCTTCAATCTAAACACTTCAAAAGAAGAAGAAAGAGCTTCCTCACTTACATTGTACCTTCTCCTACTTAATAAAATCCACATTTTGACCATGCAACCGCTAACTTGAAAGAGGCACTGTTCACTTTTCTTCCCCCACTGCTCAATGTGAACATATTTGCATTGTCATCTGCATGCACGGCCTCCAAGTGTGTCAACAAGTGAGCCAGAGTCGGTTATTCCGTACCATGCGTCGCGCTGATTAAAGGGCTTGGTGCTATGTTGTGTTATTAATTTATTCCGAGTCAAATTTTGTATGGTACACAGTCTGAAAGGCCTTTCACACTATCCAAAATCTCTGTGTTGGACCCGGATCTATCCAATACGGACGTTTTGTGAATCCCTCTCGCACTAGCTAGAATCAGGGGTGTGAGTGACCACTGATAAAAAAATAGCTGAAAACAGCTGAAAAAGGTGGTAAAAAAGCTGAACTTTGGAAATCTGCTATACTTTTGTACACAGCAAGTGAGAGAAAAAAGCTGAAATCCAAAACAAAAAAAGCTGAAATCAGCTTTTAAGCTGAGATTTCACACCCCTGTAGAATCCAACAGCTTCTAAACGGGTCCGGCCCTCTACACAGGTAAAATTCAACCCTGGTTGGGAGGCCCATAAGAGCTCTACCCAGGTAGAAAATGCAAAATCTACAGCCCATTCTTATACAATCTGGTTTAGTGTGAACAGTATGCTTTTTTCCTGCTCATGTTTGATGGTGATGGATCCGGATATGCTTATTGTGGACCCATGTTGATTCAGCACAGGTTGGCAAGACGATAGTCTGAAAAGGCCTTGTTGTAGAGACGGAATTGTACACTCTAGTGAAGTGGTCTGGCAGTTGTGGAGTTCGACCCACAAGTTCGACCCGGACAAGACGATAGTCTGAAAAGCCCTTGTGGTAGAGAAGGAATTGTAGGCTCTAGTGTCGTGGTCTAGTGCCAAGGTGCATGGGTTCGAACCCTGATGGGGAACATGGTGCTTGTGTCCTTGGGCAATACACTTTACTACAACTGCCTCTCTCCACCCAGGAGTGCGAACGGGTACCTGTGAGGGTAGAGACCAGATTGTGTTGATCCCTGCCGAACAGAAGTGGTTCCATGGCCTGATAAACGGGGTAATAACTGACCTAGCTTTATTGGAAAGCACTGTATAAGCAACACCCATTACTATTATTACTTCAAAACTGACAGCGTACATTTAAGTGATCAATTTTGTCTGGGGACTTTTTCTGTCTTGTTTCACCCTCTTCAGTATAAATGCCAAAAAAAGTGTCAGCTTACAGCTTGCCATAGCTTTTGTAGATTATACATTACCATGCTATTGACTGCTGTGCAATGACAGTGACATGCAACAAATGGATATATGGCAAGCTGTGGACTGCTTCAGATCGCAAACGTAATAAATTGCCACTCCTACAAGCAAGCCTTCAGAGTACCCGACTATCTCTACAGGATATCTTACCCTCGTGTCAAATTTCTGCTCCTCAAATGTTAATCTTGCAAACGGATCGGATGACCCCGTCTTGTCTTTGACAGCCAGATCCCTGATGAAAGGACGATAAAAACCATCTGTCTTGAACAAATCTGCACAGCTTAAAATCACTGAGAGGCCGACAGAGCAAAACACGTCGGCGACTGTATTTCTGGCCAATGGGACGCGGTCACAGTTCGTAATATATTGTTCTTTAGTGCAATACTTTTGAGGGGACGGGAACAAGACAAGAAAAGTGGTCAGGTGAAATAAATAGCCGAGATGGGCTCCTCAAAGGTTGAACTTTAATTAAAATCTTTTCATTTGTGACTCAATGAATATCCATTTCAAAATCAGTGTTCATTTCGGGTAAGACGAGGAGGTGGATGGGTAAAATGACGCTGGGACTGAATTTCAAAAGGTTTCAGTCAAGAAAGATTTGGAGGAATTCATTCTCCTTACTCAACCTTTCCTTTTCTTGGGACTGTGATATTGAAGCTAAATTTATGGAGTAACTTAAAACCATGCAGGCGAGTTCATCATATTTCTCATAACCCATTCGACCCTCTCAACAGGATCAAAATGATCATTGACATTTTAATGAAAATGAAATCTCAATGATTTATTGGAAACTGGGGGGGGGGGGAGACCAAAGCAAAATTTCTTTCACATGTGGATATTTGACGTTACCCGCAAAGCCTCTTGAGTTGAACACACAACAAAATTACCTTTTTCTCCTCAAGGAATTTTTTTCATATTTCTGGATACTTGACAACAGCAATATAGAAAACTCCAGGATTTGTAGGTTTCTCAAATATCAAAGGGCCCATGTCATGTTTATTTTAAACAAACTTGAAAATGCACCTTGTGTTCCATTACACATATCCTTATTTTCAATTTGCCATTTTTATAAGTATTTTTGTCCTTTTTTTGTTTTTATGCCAATGCAAATTTATTCCATATTCATGAGCAAAAGTATGTCATTTCAGGCAGAAACCTCAATGTTACAGCTATTTCAGTACCAAAACTTGTCAGAATTTTAGATATTTCGCTTTTTTAAATTTATTTCTTTGGTGATTCGTTGTTGTTTTAGAACATGACAGTTAGCCAATGAGCAAAATTTTCTCACAAATATTTTCAAAGAGCAAATATTTGGGTTCACAATTTGAACAGAAAACCTCTAATAATAAGTGAAAGTGTCTGCCTGAAATGACATTAGAGCAACAGCGCCCTCATTTGTCAGGAAAAGCATGGGAAATTTTAAATGTTTCAAAACTCTTCAATAAAGTTAACCAAAATGGAATGCCAACTATACATTAAATCAAGAGGAGTAGAAAGTTGCACAAAATACCTTCCCAAGTACGATTCACGTCATAAGCCCTTTAAAGAGTCCTCTCCCCTCAAAGTCCGAGTGCATTTGTTTTACCTTGCTTCTAGCAGTTCAATCTTGAGGTTCTTGCGACCTCCTTCAGCTTCCAGCAAAGTGGCTTCAATGTGGATCTCCCCCTGCACCTCGGTATCTCGGTCCACCTTGACCAGTTGGAGCCATTTCTCTAAACCTGGTGCAGAAAAGAGCAGGGCAAAGTTGAACATGTTTTGAAATTGACATGGACTGACAAGCTTTTTGACCTGCAAATTGTTCATTTTGTTATAAATGGAAGAAAAGAGGTGAATTTCATACCAGTAGTTCTTTACTGGTGTATTTTGTGGGAAAAGCAGTAAGTGTTGCCTAGATCATTTTCTCATATCTATCAAACATAATTTGCACTGTACAATTTGTAGATGAATTTAACATTTGCATTCATTTTTTTTTTACATTTTTTTTCTTATAACTTGAAATGTATGGGCAAATGGGGAGGAGGGAGGGGTTCAGCTCTCAATAAGCTCTCAATAAGTGCAGGCCCAGAGATGGAAACATGCTTTCAAAAACAAATGCATAACCTTATAAATATGCGACATGTATTTATTTCAGATCCTCATGTCAGATTTTAATCTTCAAATCAGAATCCTTCAAAAAAATACTAAAGTTGCTCTATTAGCAAAAAAATTATTCCTCTCGATTCCCTAGAGGCGGGAGATAAATGGATCCCAACATCTTATTATACATCTCAGGCTAACGCCTACAATCTAGTTAGGTATGTCTTGTCGAGGGCGAGACTTAATCACCCCCTCAAAATCAGTCCAGCGTTTAAATCCACTGATTAGATCAGTGTTAGGAAGGTGCATCCATGCACTTAACTACCGGAGTATGGTAGACATCATCAAAGGATTCGGGGGGGGGGGGGGGTGGCTAGAGGCTGATGGGATTAAATTGAATTTCCTTGAGACGATGGATTTGGGCAGACCACCTGACAAATATTGACTTCTGCGGTGACTGTATGATCGGAATTGAGTTCTAACCCTGCTTGCAAAAAAATGTTATTACTGATAATTTTCTTTGCTCAAACATGAATCTTCCGCAAGCCTGGACTATATCGTTATAATTATAAACTAAATTTTCAACTAATTGTTCACGCATAATCATTGATAAACCATCCGAAGTAGCATGTAGCTGGCATTCTTCACGGTTGTTTCATAGGTTTTTTTCCTGGCATTTGGAATAATTGAGAGTAAGGCCAAAAAAAAAGTCTCCGGTTTCTGGTATGTGCCCGCATCGCCGTAGCCATGCCCTTCGGCAAAATCAAAAAGTTTTTTTTCAAAATACATGTAAGATGATGTCTCAAAACTGCCAAACTCACTAGTTTGACTGGAATCCTGCTGCTGCACAATTTTAACGTGTTTTTAGATGGTGTTACGATCAAGTGTAAACTTTATGTGGCCTCTCTGGGCTTCAATACATTTTGCACTAAATTTGGTCGGGCACCATTTGCAGTCATCAGCCGACATTTGAAGGGAAAAAAAGAAAAAAAAAATTTTTTTTAAAAAGCCGCGTCGCCGCACCACTTTTGGGGCAAGCTCCATACCAGAAACCGGAGACTTTTTTGGGCCTAAAGAAGTACAGAGAGCAGTAAATCTAACAGATATTTGCATTAAGCAAGTTATATGTGCTATGGCATTGTTAACTTTTTTGGGGGGGGTTGTTCCCAAGGGGAGGGTAACCCCAAACCTCCTCCCCGTTTCTACGCCAATGATTGTTAAGTTCTACAAGAAATAAACACCACTCACAAGGATTCGTGTTGAATGAGGTCTGTATGCATATTGAAGTATCAATTACATATAACGTATCCCCAAGGGAGTTATTCAGCACAGTGCATGAAGAGATGAAAATGTTTGTATAAAAAATTAAAAAAGTAACAAAGCAGGACGAAAGAGTCAACCTTAAATATATTTTGGTCATTTCATAAAGTTGGGGTCCACTTTTTTTCCTCTCCCTATTAGTATTACATAGATCTGACATCTATGATTTTATAATTCTGATGCACTCCTTAATTAATGCAGTCATCCTCCATGAGCGATTATACACTCAACCTAAAAAGAAAGTCCCCCCTCCCACTACTTTTTTGTCTAACTCAAAAACTACTGCGCACATCTTGCTCAAATTACGACTAATCAGTACAGAAATTCCTTAACAAGTGTGAACCACAACTTTTTTCAGTATCATTTGTCATCAATTGCATAATTTTGTACACATTATCACTGTTTTGGGCCAAATAAAGAGTATGGCTGGATTGCTAAGGAATTTCTGTACTGATTAGTCGTTATTTGAGCGAGAGGTGCTCAGTAGTTTTTGAGTTAGACAAAAAGTTTGGAAGGGAGGACTTTTTTTTTTGGTTGAGTGCTTATATTTAGCAATCTATCTACCTTTTTTTTTAATCGTTTGAAGTCATTCTTAATGATACTTGAATTGCAATTTACACAAAGTAACAGGGACAGGCAAAATGTCACAATTTGGCCCTAAATTTATAGATTGACCCATTTAGATTTTACAAATATAAGTTACACAAGCCCACACCCCTGTACAAAAAAACCCTGGAATACAGCAGTTACAAAATCACCTCTTGCGGTTTTTTGCAGGATTTCTTTATCCACTGACACCTTGCCGATGATATCATCTTCACTGTGGGAGGAAGAAAAAAAAACATCAAAAGGTCACAGGTAAGCTGGCTCGATCTTCCAGGCTTATACTGGGGATTTCAACCCACGTAATGAAGGGAAAAGAAGGAGGAAAAAAACAGAATTGTTTTCTTGAGTATTTTTCGCCTGGTTTGACTTCAGGCTGCTGTCCCTGCAGTAATTGCTGGTTGTTTGCGTTGAAATAATAGTTTTGGCAGTGGCGCTTTTTGCAGTACACAATGCCACAGGGTACAACAAACGAGTGCCGTTTTGATTAGCTGTTTGGCTACAGGCTATTATTGAATTTTCCGCAAAACAAATTTTCCATATTGCACAGACGTAGGGTGTGAAAAATGGCTAGCGTGGGCGAAATATTGCAGTTTTGATATTATGATAAACAAGTAAGCTATAACAAACAAGTTAAAGGGAATATACAACATTTGCAAATATCGAAAAATAAAACTACCAAGTTTTTACGAAACGCCTTACTAGGATGTTGGTAAATGACAGTCTAAAGCATCCTGTAAAATTATGGCACCTGGTGCAAGTCATTTTCAAGAAAATGGCATTTTTATATACATTTCCAACGATGGTCGGCCGACCACCGTTGGAAAAACCTAACTATTTTTCAACTACAGCTCCAAATTTACAATTTTTTTCAGTCCAAATTTTGTTTGCTATTGGTTACATGTTCTTGAACGGGTGCAGGCCAGCTGGACTGGTTCCCTTACCTTACAATTTTCCGACATCTATAAATTGATCCATTTCATCTTTAGTGGAGTCAGGGAACCAGACTACTTAAACATTTTTGTTTTTCTTGGTTTTTCAAGCATTTTCGAACACAAAACTTCAAACATGTCAGTTAAACAATATTTGATCTATTATACTAAGCCCTCAAATAGTTCATTTCTGAAAATTACAGCAAAAGCCAATGATGTACATTCCCTTTAAGAAATTCATAATAGTTCAAGTACATGTATTTACAAATATAAGATTTGAAGGTTTAAATGGTGAAGATAGCAATAAAATGAAGATTTACGATAAGCACCATGTAACAAATCTCTTTTGTGAGTTTGGGAGATTCTGAAAAGAACCACCTGGGGGAAATTCAACGTTTCAGACAGTATAACAGGTAGAGTATACTGCCCAAAACGTTGAGTTTCCCCTGATTCTTTTCAGAATCTCACAAACTCACAAAAGAGATTTGTCACACGGTGCTACCGTAAATCTTAATAACATTTTAAACAAGATAAGATACTCTAATTAAAAAACAAACAAACAAAATGTGACCGAGCAATCACAGTGAAAAATAAACAGAGAGATCAAAATCTGAATATAAGGGCTGTCCATTTTAGACAACTTGAAGGATTTTCTTTTAAAGAAGCTTTTTTTTTTTTGGAGTCTCGGATGTGCTGGGGGATCCGATTTCATTCTTTGGGACCTGCGATGGAAGATGCTTTGTCACTTGTATCGTTTGTGCTTATTGTCACATGCAAATGGGATGTATCAGATGAAGACCTATCAAGTTGTGAACAAACTTCAGAAATAGTCCCGTGAAATTTAATGACCCCAAAACGAAGCTGAGTAGAAGTTAAAGAGATTGTGGAATGCTCGAAGATATTTCTGTAATTTTTCGGGTATATGTAGGTGTGATGAAATAAAAATGACTATTGTTTCTGTCATAAAATGAGTACAAAAGGTACTTTTGAGAGCTGTTTTTCAAGTCCTGTCACGCCTGTTTCAACCCGAACGTGCAATTTGTGTAAAAGTCGTCGTTGCGGGCAGCAAACAAAACACAGTAAATCGTGACGTAATAAACAGAACTCCCGATGCAGAGTAGCATAAACGAGTCCTGTTTATTGCGTCACGATTTAGTGTGTTTTGTTTGCTGCCCGCAACGACGACTTTTACACAAATGGCACGTTCGGGTCGAAACAGGACCTGAAAAATAGCTCTCAAAAGTAACCTTTGTACTCATTTCGTGACAGAAACAATAGTCGTTTATATTTCATCACACATTCGGCTACATATACCCAAAAAATGACGGAAATGTCTTCGAGCATTCCACAACCTCTTTAATGAGTAGGCCTGATAAATTTGTACAGATTTCAGTATAAGTTGTAAATGCTGGGACATGATGTTGTAAATGAATTGTCAACAAAGGGACAGAAAATAACCAAAACATAGAGTTTGATGATTAAATCACATCGGGGCATTTGATTAACAAAGATAAATAACTGAAACGGATTCGAACCTCTAACCTTCGAAACATTGTACCTCTGCTTTTAACTACACTGAATATCCTGACGCTTTCAGTCTCCCAATTTGCATATAAATGTGTTTACTTTTGTGATGGAAGCCAGAAACACGACACCCCATCCATATCCACTTAAGGCCATGGATCACACCCAAACTCAAGATTCTAGCACCAGTGACCATTAAAGGAAACTTCTGTGGATTATCTGTGACCTTCACCTTTGAAATATGACTCATTTGAATATGTACCATATGAAACGCTAGATTTTGGCAATTCCGGGATAAGCATACTCTTATGCAAACCATGGGAGTGGCAGGCTAATTAGTCACTCACATACACATTTTTTTTGTATTTCCAATAATGGAACCACTGTGAGAATGGATACATTGCTCATGGAGATTCAATTCCAATCAGTTTTTAGTCGAACCGAGATGACAATTCTCTGGTAAAGTAAAGTATGGTGCAGGGGCGACAACCCGGGGGGGGGGGGGGGGGGATACACGTACCGGTATATCTCCCGATATATGGGCTATTTGGGTTCCCCCACCCCCCCCCCAAACCTTTTTTTGTGAAATGAAACAAGAAAAGGCAGATTTTGAGGTGTTTTGGGGAACTACCCAACAACCAAAATGTGTTGAATAGTACTGAAAAAGGGAGGACCATTTTGATTTAAGGTTAATTGGTGTTTACAAGTAAACATAACATGTACATCTGTATGGGCACGGAGGAATAAGATCACATGGGGTATAATTGATAATTTCAAAAAAAGGTAAAAAAAAACATTGCAACGGCTGCATAAACGCCCTTCCAAACTGTCAAGCCGCCTCCTTCAAGAGGATATCCCTAAGGCCTATCTCTCTCATTCGTCCTCGTCTCCACACTTGTCAAGGCAAACTGCCACCAGCCCGTACAAGAAACGGAAGGATTTAGTACATTAGCCAGACATGCCCACGCATCAGAGGAGGCCGATACCTCGCTGTCAGCGTGAAGTGTGACAGAGAAGCCTAGGCAAAAAAAACAGTTCTGCTTCCGATTACATGGCATTTGAAAATAGGGTAGGTAGGTAGGGAATTTTTTTATTTGGGGGGGGGGGGGCCAATTTTTTGTGCACAATCATATGGAGGCGACTGCCTGTAGTCAAGGGTAAAAAGTAGAAATTGATGGTTTTCTGGTTTTTTTCTCCTTTTCTCATAAAAAATTTAGGGTAGAATAGGGTAGGTAGGGAAACCGGAAGCAGAACTATTTTGTTTTTTGGTTTTTTTTGGCTTTACTGATCTGAAAAATTACTCATGAACACATCCCATCTTCCACTGGATGTTAGCTGGCAGAAACAGCCACTGAAATTGCCCACAGATCAAATGCTAGACCAATTACTGTCAATTAAAAAAATCTAATTTTTTTTTTTTTTTGGGGGGGGGGGGAAAAAAACTTGAACACTCTCTCCTTCCTCTTACATGTCCATTTTCAGATGTCAATACAGAAATGTGTGGATGTGAAAAAAGTGTTGGAAGATCATTCAACAGATTAACAACTAATGACACACCTGTCAAAACGTTTAAAGGATGTTTGCTGTGTTTGTAAAAGTTTAAGCATACCACTCTGGAGAACAGTATACATGTAGTTATTGGGCAAGGGAACCACATTTTGAGGCTCTGATCAGTAAAACTGTCAATGATTCAAGAAAAAAATTAACAAACTCCCGTTAGTATTACACTGTATTTTTTCCTGATGAATATATGCAGACCCATACAGTGCTAGGGCCGGACAGTCCTGGGCAGAATAGACCCTATGCGTAGCAGCCATCTTTAGTAGGTAATGCCTGTGTTTTGCTGGGATATAGGCCTGTACATGAGTGAACCTTTTGTGCATTCATTGTTAATGAATTAAAATAACAAAATATGATGGCGGCTACATATAAGGTCTCGAGGGAGTAACAGACAGGGTGGTTTGAGGCATATTTATATGTAATATGCCTTTCTATAGAAATAAACTGTACCAAAGCGGCACTACCCTTCCCGACGGTACATGTCACTTAGAGATTTTGGAATCCTCTCAGAAGATGGAAAAATACTCCTCACCCTAGAATGGTGTAAGAGTCCTTAATATTTAAAATTAAAACAACACATTAAATACAATTTTAAACAATTTTTTACATAAAAAAGGATAATAAATTTCTATAGACAAATCCGGCAGCAGCCATTTTCTGCGGTGACACCAGGCTCGCGCGAGCCGTGCTCAGGTAGTAGTACACACGCACCCTGGGATCCTTCAACCAATAGGAATACCAAAATGCATGTGTGCTCATCTTTAACAACGCATGCAGCATGTGCATGAGCGTAACACCACCGCAGTAAAAGCTTCTAATTCTGGTCACCGGATTTCAGTATAGACATTAACTAGAATATTTTATTCTGTAGAAACAACTTTCTGTTCCCAGTACTTCCTCTATCCTACCTGACCGTATCTTCATCAAAGACGTAAACTGAGAGATTTTGAAAGCCTCCGGGAAGATGGAAAAAGTACTCCTCGCCCCAGAACGGTGTCAAAGTCTTCCAGACAGTGGCAGTCCTAAATAGACAGGGACAGAAGGAGCAAAAAGAGATAAGTAATGGCAAAACAGAGCCCGAGGATAAATGAGAGACAAAGGTTGTGGAGATGTCGGTTGATTGATCGCCACTAGTGACCCTATCTTTGCAATCATCAAGAACACATCAACTGTGTGTACACATGGTGCTCACAGCTCGATAAGGTTTTGGTAAGTACAGGCAAGATGTCCTCATAAGGTCAGGCAAAGCCTGGGCCCAATTCCCATGGATGTGCTGTACCATTAGCGAAAAATCCCTGCTTACTGTAGCAAAAAAATTCTGTAATATCGGCAGAAATGTATTTCACAGGTTAGCTAGGAATTATGGCTTAGGGGTATGCATACATTCTTTAAAGGGAATGTACATCATTGGCTTATGCTTTAATTTTCAGAAATGAACTATTTGAGGGGTTAGTATAATAGATCAAATTATTGTTACACTGACATGTTTGAAGTTTTGTTTTCGAAAATGCTGGAAAAACCAAGAAAAACAAAAATGTTCAAGTAGTCTGGTTCCCTGACTCTACTGAAGTTGAAATGGATCAATTTACAGATGCCGGAAAATTGTACGCTAAGAGAACCAGTCTAGCTGACCTGCACCCATTCACGAACATAAAACCAATTAGCAAACAAAATTGGACTGAAAAAAATGGTAAATTTGGAGCAGTAGTGAAAAATAGTTAGGTTTTTCCTACGGTGGTCAGCCGACCACCGTTGGAAATGTAAACAAAATATAATTTTTTTGAAAATGACTTCACACCAGGTGCCATAATTTTACAGGATGCTTTAGACTGTCATCTACCAACATCCTGTAAGGTATTTCGTAAAAACTTGGTCATTTTATTTTTCGATGTTTGCAAATGTTGTATTTTCCCTTTAACTAAAGGATTCTGGGCTTACAGGGTTAAGCAGAGAAATGTTCTGCTAGCGCGGTTAGCACAATACGGTGATTGTGAGCGTGGAATTCTGAGGTGAGCAGAGTTATGATGACTCTGCTTACCGTTAACCAAAAATCCCTGCTTAAATGAAGCCGCAAATTATGTGCTTACTGTAAGCGTATTTCACGGGTTAGCTAGGAATTTTCACTCCTGCGCATGCGTACATCCTGTAACTAACTATTCTAGTGCTTACAGGTTTAGGCAAAAAAAAAAAATATGTCGGTCTCTGGTCAGCGCGCGCATCGATTTTAATCATGCACCATCAACTTTTTTTTCCTTCAAATTGTCTGCGGTAGCTACAGCAGCACCCTCTATTGCCGCACCTCCTCAAATTTTTGTACCAAGGAATGGGGAAATTGTACCAAGGCAAATGATGGAGGGCACCAATGCAAATTATGGAGGTCCCCAATGTATATGAGGACACAACAAAAGCAAAATAGTACCCACCTTATCTGTACAATCCAAGCTTAAAAAAAACAAAAAAACGCATCGCCGCATCAATTCCGAAGCTTTGGTCTGACCAGAGACCGAATATTTTTTTTTTTTTGGCCTTAGCACAATTTGTTTCTGCTAGCGCTGTTAGCACAAAATGGTGATCATAAGCACGGAAGTTTGTGGTTAGCAGAGCCATGAAATTGTTTATTGGTTCCAAAAAAAAAAAATCCTTTTTTTTTTTAGGGTTGAAGACACCCAATTTTGAAAAAGTAGCTTTTCTTGTAAAAAAAAAAAAAAAAAAAAAAAATTCATTTTGGAAAAATTATGGAAAAATTGAAAAATTCAAACGGAGAGCACAGGGAGCAATTTTGAAGAAGTTCCAATAAAAACTGAAGGTTATTATATATACAACATGTACTTTTATAATCAAGTCCAAAGAGTGTCCAGTGGAAGAGTTCCATAATTACATGTGCATGTAGATCAGCTTTTAATCCTCCCTATAATTTTGGACACATCTTAAACCAGGACTGGGCACTTAACATTCTCTGCCTCAAACCTGCAAATCTTATGTACATGTACAATGTAGCAGTGTATCTGCATCTACATACATTTTTACAAGAAAAAATCTGGTATACTTGGATGTATACTGTCCATGGGGAATACAAAGACTGTCACTATAGTAGCATCCCACTTGAAACTGTCCATGCTTGAAAGCTCTACTGCATAGTTGGCTTGTAACATATCATGATGAGTATGTTATCAAATACTGCAACAGATGTCATCGTGGTATGTGTTACTGTAAGGTACCGCATTTCCATAAAAAAAAACATGCCTACTCTTTTTGTATTAGATCCCATGAGGAATATAAACTATTACTTACTGGAAATAGTGTCGATACATATTATCTGGCGAGCCAAATTGAAACTTCAACTGCACGTACATGTACAAGCTCGCACAATGCTTATTAGTCAGTGGCAAGCGGGAAACAATAACACAAATTCAAGGAGGTACCCAACAAAATTGTTGACAAAACTTCTACGTATTGAGCAAGCAACAAAGTACAAAATCTTTTGGATTGCAACTTGTTTTATGGGTTTCTTTTTATGTTTGAGGATGTAAGATAATGTTTAGCCGTGCACTATTTGAAGATTTTTGAAGAAACCACACATTTTCCTCCTTCTGTAATCATTAGCCTAAGTCTGAGGTGACAGTACAGTGGTCCACAAATTGTATCATTCATCTGTTGTACTCATGTTAGGACTTAATCGATAATCCTTTTTTTTTAATTACTTGGACCCTTATCCTTTATCATTATCCATTTTTTAATCACTTTATGAAATTTCAAGAATTGCGCCATCCAAGAGAATTGTTCTAGTGAACATCTTACACTTGTATTTTCATTCCTCCAAATTGATGCCACAGTACAGTATGTATGCCAGTTTAACTTCTTACCAGTGGCATGTTGGGGGGGGGGGGGCGGGCCATGGTGCCATTGCCCTCCCTCCAAAGAGTTAATAAAAACAGGCATTTCACAGCTTTGTTTGCTTGCTGCAACAAAGAGCGCTACCTATTGTTCCATGGTTTCCAATATTGTCCGCTTTGAACAGCGCCTCCAATAATCAGATGATGTCCAGCCCCTCACCCTCCCCCATCCCAACTGTTTAATTTTGCGACATCCAGCTGACTGGAAAAAAAACTCCTGGTTACCTTCCAGTGTGGAGGAGAATCTGCATCCTCTCCCCCCAACTGCTTCTTTCTTTCAATATCTGCTCTCATTTCTTAGCTTAACCCTAACGTCCTAGTCATTACTGTGGGATAAAGAACTGAGTACTTCAGAATACTATGAGTGTTGTGCACACTTAAATGCTGAAGCATTTCATACTACAGTTTACTACTAGTAGTATTCTGTAGCTTTAGGTGAGGTCACAGGAAACTGTACCCTGAGAATAATTCAGAAACTTAATCACCGATAACCTTTCTGCTGTATGTTATCCTGAATAGAATTTCTCATGAACAGAATTTGTGTAAAGCGAACCACCAAAGCAATGAAAACAAAATCAATGTTTGGAAAAGATGTTTTGTTTGAAACAAGGTGTATTTTGTATGTGTAGTTTGCCTGAAAGTTCACTGACATGATCAATATACATGTAAAACACTACCAAACACCACAGGCAATGCGTTTGTTCTGATTGCTGAACCTTGCAAATCACCACATGTAATTTGTCCAAATCAATAATGTAAGTTTAGAAACTTCTGACTGCAATACGTAAACAGAACCACATGTTCTAGGGTGATCGAACTCTTTGTAACAAAGGATTACAGTGAATTTATGATCCACTCATCCATTTAGTTACCGGTTTGGCTTTGAAACCCCAAAACATTCTCAGCGTTTATTGATCATTCATTGTTGACTTGACAAATGAGGATGTAGGCAGATGGCCATCCCCATTCACTTGTATGAAGAATATATGTTGAATTAATGCGTAGATTTCCTCTTTCATACAGTAACAATAATGGACGATGAAAGGAAGTGTTTGTGACAATATTTCTTTGAATCAAGTCAATATAGCTATTTTTGGAATACAAACAGTGAACAGTTATGAAAATTTACAGCATAAAAATAGGTCAACAATGTATCATGCAGAAAGATGGGCCCATCTCCTGATGGAAAAGTTGGTTTAAAAATAATTGTTCTGTATGTATCAAAATACTCATATTTACCCCTAAATGATCAAATTATTTATAAGCAGCAACGTTTGCAATGGATCTACTCCTGTTGGTTAATTGACTATACAAGTTGTTTCTTCAGAGGCTGAGACAAAAGTGACTGCCCAGCAACTTTTCCATCCCGCCTAAACTTTCTACTTCTAGGATGTAAAGAACCAACCCTACTTCTCATTGGCCCATAGCTAATGTGCTGCATGCATGATGGGTCGGCTGCCCAGATTTCAGTACCCGACATTTTTTGAATAAAAACCTTCTGGCTGAGGCGTGCACACAAAGAATTTTCAGTGTTGTTTGTGATTTTTTATTTGTCTGCTTATAAACCAGGTTTGGCAATATTTTGAAGAGGTTCTGTGGACTCCAGGCACCACTATTTGAAGATGCATTCCCCGTGCTAATTTCAAGTCTCATCCACAAGAATAGATTCCTTTTCTAAAATTTATATTTTTCTCTAGCAATACAAAATTTATTTTGGAATAAGACATCGACTGAAACAAATCAGCCCATGTTTAGTTATGGCCAAATAAAAAAGTCTCCGGTTTCTGGTATGCGCGCGCGTCGCCGCAGCCATGCGCGTCGGCAAAATGAAAAAGTTTTTTTTTCAATACAAGATGAATTATTACTTTTTATATAACCGACATACAGATCCTTGTCATTTGATTGGTGGAACTCACATCACGTGGCATTCGTTATTGCTCCCATTCATGCCGCGGTTCAAAAAGTACTATCCGCCCATGGGGAATGGGAAATACTATTCAACAGTTAGGATCATGACGCGGTATTTGTGTGCAAATGCATGCTGGCGTGCGCGTTCAGCGTTGCACGTAGCGCGTATTGTTCCAAAGAGCCAGCGCTACAGCATTAGGTTCAAACATTTTCGTGAAGGG